GGAGGAGTAGGGTGGCAGGACAAACTCCGGAGACACCTCTGAGTTCAGGCTGGGCTGGCCCCTCCAGCTGGGCAGAATAGACTGGATACTTCTTTCCCACGGATGGGAGGAAGTAGGCTGGGGCTCCATGGCAAACTGCAATCTCCCCGAGAGGACTGGTAAAATTCCCCTACCTCTCCCACCTCCTTACACATGTCTAGGCTGGAGCCCTGCACTCTGCAACTGGACCCCCAGAGCTGAGCTCTGGTGAGGAGAGCTGCTAGTCTCCTTTGAGGCTGGGTTGCACTAGGAGGAAGGAAAAATATCCAGAGGGAGAAGGGAATGAGCAAGGGGGGTTGGGGGGTTCCTACGTTCCCGCTGTAAATATGGCTTTCCTGTCGTGGTGAGTAAAGGTGTGGACGTGTCTTTCTTTCTTGAATTACCGTCATGGGCCACTGCAGGGAGAGATGAAATCTCCACCAGTCAGAGGACCAGGAAGGAGGCCCCTCAGATCCTCAGCTCCTCGTGACTGCTCTTGATAAGTAGAGAGGAGCAGAAGTTCCCTTCTCCTCACCCTCTCCACCACCCGCCATCTCTACCAGGGGCCCAGCCACTGTGCCCTTTCTGAGGCCCTGTGCGGAGTGGAGTCGAGTCTTTGAGGCCCTGGGCCCTGCCCTGGTGCTTGCTTTGTGGAGGCTGGGGTTCTTGAATGCCAGATGGAGTTGTTCTGGGCGTGCTGGGGTGTCCTGCCTTAACATCAGCGAACTCGAGGGCCCTTCCAAGCTTCTTCTACCTACCATCCCTGACTCTTTTCCCTCTCCTTCTGAGAAGTAGCGCCCCCCAACTCCTAGCGAGATGCACGACAGCCAAAGAGTTGAAGATTCCTTCCCAAAGTCCAGTGATTTATTTTCCTTGGAGTACCAGGCCCTAGATCTGGAGTGGGCACATCACAGGGAGCCCTGGGTCTCAGCCCAGCTGATCTCAGTTGATGTTTAGATTAATTGTATTATCTCTGCTAATAGTTGTCGTGCATGTTTTGTTTTGTTTTGATTTTGTCAAAAACAATTGCTTGTATATATAAATGTTTTCAGTGGAAATAAATATGCAGGTCCCAGCCAAGGGACTGATGTCAATTTTTCAAAACGTTTTGGATTCCCTCCTAATGTTTTTCAGGCCACCAAATTCATTTTTCTTTCCTAGTTGTGGTTTCACTGCGGGTGTTTCTTGACTGTTCATTAAATGAGAAAATGGCTTCCAAGTCAGTCAGGAAATGGTGTATAAAAGCCTACGAAGAAAATGTGTATGAACCATCCAGGGTGGAGGGAACCATGGGCAGATGTGAGTGTATCTCACATCCTAAGTGAACCCTCAGCTTCTTGCTAGCTGGGGTTTCGTCATTTTGTCTAAATTCTCGAACTCTGAAACTTGCTGTTTTCGGAGGAGGCTGCCAAGATATGAGGTTCCTCAGATTTCAATAGAAATGGAAATTTCTCAGATTTCAATACAAAGATTTCTCTCCCAAATTTCAATACAAAACATCTCTCCCTGCTATGTTTTGGTCAGACTTCTCTTGAACAGGCTATGCCCTATGGAAATCCTCCATATTGGCACCCCTGCCTGGAGCCCGGCAGGCTCCCTTGGGAAATGTGGCCTCCGCACCCCCAAGGCCTTCATAGCCTCTAGCTCAGGCTGGAAAAGCTAGGGCCTGCTTGGTATTCACCGTCCTCTTACAGACCCCAGCTCTCAGCTAGCTCAGAGATGGAAACTAGAAAATTGATAGCTTTAGGAAGTGGGAGAATTAGCAAAACCGCTAAATCTCTAATACTGAACATTGAATGGTTCCAACTCCCCTTCCCTGAAGCGAATTTGACGTGTACTTTTAGAATATGTTTAAAACAGTTCCTAAAAAAAAAAAAAAAAAAAGCACAGCGGAAAAAAGGAAGCAAGAGGCTGCCGAGGCCCTATTGTTAGAAATGTTTCCCTACCTAGTGGGGCTCAGGGAGGTGGTGGTACCCTGAGCTGAGTCTCTCTGAGAGTCTCCAGAGGTTTGCCTCCCCCAAAACAACCTAACAAAGGCGGAGGCCACACTCAGACCTCACCTCCGGAGGGCTGGGTAAAGAACCAGAAAACCGGACTTAGCCCCAGGGCCTAAGACAACACACAGAGGCTGTTTCTTTCCAATATATACCTTAAATCATCGTATTCTTTCTCTTTAGCCTGGGATGTGGGGTGGAACGAGATATTCATGGAGATCACTCCCCAAAGAGACTGTAATTATTCTAAGTGTAAAATTTTGTCTTGATTGGTGCTTCAGCAGTGTTTTTCCAATCTATTCCTTTTACTGATCCGCACAAATACAAAGGCAGCCGTGTCCTCTCTCCCTTCCCAGCCGAATTCCCGGCACGGATTTGGAACCACGACGAAATCCGTAAGAAACAAACGCCCGGAGAGAAATGACGCTGAAATCTGAATGCTCAACATTCCCTCATACAGAGACAAATGCGTCCTCCGAAATGCTGCAGTCCAGGCAGGCCTCTTAACCAAGAAAAAGGTTTTTAAACGAGAGAAAAAACAGCTTCGTCTGCATTCAATCCACTGTGGGCTCAGAGAGCCGACGGGGGACTCTTTTAAGGCCTGGGGGCTCTCCCCAAGGGAGGCGGGCTGGGGAGACTTCCGGGAGGCCGGCGGGTGGAGGAGAAATCCAGAACCGTTGTAAATATTCATGTCTAGGGGGGTGCCCCTTCACCCCGCCTCTTCCAGCTGCATCCACCCCCCTTAGTGGGGGGGGGGCTCGGCGCCTATCCGATCGTCCTTGGACAAAGGTGCTCTCCCCACATTTTTGTTCTCCAGTCACTTGACTTAAGGAGCCTTTTCCGAAGGCTCTGCAGGGAAGAGACTGGCTCTGGGTGTTTTCCCTGCGTTTCTCCTCTTTCGTTTCCTAAAAGAGCATAAATAATTAAAGTTTGGCAGGGAGGAAAAGCTTTCTTGCAGAACTGTAGTGGCAATAAATGAAATGACTCAGAATCCCTTCCCCAGTCAGCTTTTACGAGAGCTGCCAGACAGTGTCTGTTCACGTTCTCCAGATACCACGGGCGCCCTGACAAAGTTAAGGTCAAGTTAGTGTCTTATCTTGGGTGGCTCAAAATTACCGCATCGCGTCCGGGCGCTGCGCGGAAAGCTACTACTCGTGGAGCTGCTGGCTGTGCCCGGAGGGTCCGGTGCGCTCCCTGTGCTTCGAGTGGGGGCGCGCAGGCAAGGACAAGGCCAGAGAGCTGGGGTCTTCACGGTAGGTTCTCGAGCGGGACGCGCGGGTTGGGAGGCTGCGGTTTTCCTGGGGTTTCCGGGTAAGGATCGAGGAGGGAGCTGGGGCCAAAGGGCGAAGCGGGCTGGGCCCAGAACGAAAGCCTTGGATTGGGTGTGGGGGCAGGGGTCCGCGCTACTGCGCAGAGAGGGGTCCGCTGCCCCTTTCCCCCATGCACCCGCGCGCTGCTGCAGATGGCGCACCCTCCCCCGCCAAAGCGCGGCTCCAGCCGGAGCCGCCGTCGCCATGTCGTTGAACTTGAATGGTTCGTCCTCCCCATTTCCCTCTTCGGCGGTCAGTTGGCTCCACTTTGGGATACTGCGCCCCACCCTATGCAGAGAGAAAGTGTGAGAATTTTGCGCACCCCCAGACACATAAAGACCGGGCTGGGGGCCCCGCCTCCGCTGCCTTGGGTCCTGAGCTGCCGCAGGGCCAGTATGTAGTGTCCGGGGAGCCATTTTAGGAGAGAGATGTAGGGGCGTCGACCACGAGCTCGGGAGGGAGAGGCTTGGGCCGGGATGGAGATGGCAAGGCAGATAAGTGTGCCGGCAGTCTGGGCTGAGAAGGAGGTGAGCTGGAATCTGGGCGAGGGTGCCAGTTGCTAGAAGGGTGCACACAAGGATGGGCAGTTCTGGGTGGGAGGGAGGCTCCTTGCCCTCCAGTCGCCACCGACCTGTTTGCGCAGTGTTCGGAGGGAAGCAGAGGTGGGAGGGGGGCGGAGGAGGGAGAGTGGGAGGGAGAAAGGGAGGGAGGAGAAAAAGAGGAGGGGGGGGACATCGGCCAGAAAATAGATATGAGCTCCGATCACCCGCCTTTTCTCTGTCTGTCGGCATGGTGGGCAGAGCTCACCGCACGGGCACTGCGGCAGCCGGGGCCAGGGAGGGAACCAGCTTCACAGCCTGCGCCGCCTGCCCTGGGCGTTGGGCTGAGGCCCAGGACCAGGGCTGGGATTGCCTGGGGAGAGGAATCCTGGGGAGAGGGGCAACTTCCTGCCCTCGGTTCTAGGATTTGGGTTTGGGGAGCTTCTTTCTGAGACTGATTTTACCTTTGGAAAGCGCTGGCTGTCCCGGAAGTGGGAGCCCAGGCCTCGCCTGGACCCCTGGGCTAGGAAAGAGGGACGCGGCGACCGCTGAGGAGAGTGAGGCCTTGGGGCGAGTGGATGGGGGGCCCTCAGGGCCAAGTGGCGCAGAGGGGCTTGAGCAAGGAGGCAAGAGCTCCTGAGAGCCCCCCCTCAGAGCCAACGGACCTCCTGGGGGGCTGCAGTGACCGCGCCGGCCTAAGGGTGCCACCGGAGCCTAGGGGAGATGCGGCTTGGATGCATAGGCCTTGGCGAGGCTCCGACGCAGGGAAGGGGCTGGATGTGAGGCGGGCTGGTCCCAGTCCAGACCAGAAAGCAGAGATGGTGAGGACGGCGGAGGCGTCGGTGGTTTGTCTCAGGTTGGGGGGGAGCGGGAGGCCAGGCACCCTGAGAGGAGGACTCCAGATCCTTTTGTTCACCAGACCCCCCACCTTCTAGAGGGCCACGGGGCGTCTCCGCTGGCTGGCCTCCCTCTTTGCTTTAGCACTGGGAGAGAAAAGGCAGAGAGGCGACAGGGAGAGAGATAGAGATGGTGACACGCAGCTAGGGAAAAGGAGAGAAGATCAGAGGAAAAGAGAGGAGGAAATAAGAGGAAGAAGGAAAGAGGAAACGAGAGGCGATTGAGAGAAGAAAGGACAGGAGATACTGAAGTGAGACGAAGGAAGGAGAAAGAGAGACAAGAACAGAGAGAGGAGAGAGGGCGACAGGGCCGAGTGGGCACTGAGGCCCTGGCCAGGGTGAGCTTCTGGTATGGTTTCGGCGTGGGTTTTCCAAGGCTGGCATTCCCGCTCCTGGGGTCAGGAGTGGAGGAAGCCAAGTTACTCCGCGGTGAACGCGCAGAGCAGAGAAATATGTAAATCAGGGCTCCTTGCGCCCCGAGAGTGGCGCAATTAAGCCCCTTGAACAAGAAGCAACAAGCTCCCGGTGGGCAAGCTGCAGAGGGTGGCGGCGTCGCGGGGGAGGGAAAGGCTGCAGGAAGGGGTGTGGGGGGTGGGAACCTCACACCCTCACACCTAGTCCCCTGTGCCCCGGGCTGGGGCTCCCCCCTCCGCTCTCTGCTTCTTTCCCTTCCCCCTTCCTCCCCCTTCCTCCCCCTCCCTCCTCCTCCCCGCCGGCCTCGGTCCGCGTACTTAAAGCGGCGCGGGCGGGCGCGGGCGGGCGGCCCAGCCGGGCGGTGGCAGATGCACCCAGCAGTGGCAGCCGCTGGCGGCGCACAGGTGACCGGCCTGCGGCGCAGCCTGTTCAGGGGGCGCCCGGGGAGAGCTGGCTGAAGAGGGAGGCCGATCCGCCCCCAGCGCGCGCGTGTCTCGGCGCCAGGAGCCGTCCTGGGGCGTGTTGGAGAGCGCTGATATAGATATAAGGACATTTCTCTCCATGGCGTCACGTGACATAATTACCACCAGAATCAATCAAGATGAATTGCACGTCAGCGCCCGGTGGGGATTTTTGCTTAGTTGATCCTGGCCCAAGCCTCTTGTGCAATCGATGGCTCAGGTTGGCGGCGCGGGGAGCGGCCCGGGGCTCGCCGGCGCGCACGCCGCGGAGCCATGAACGACTTTGACGAGTGCGGCCCGAGCGCAGCCAGCATGTACCTGCCCGGCTGCGCCTACTATGTGGCCCCGTCGGACTTCGCCAGCAAGCCGTCGTTCCTGTCGCAACCGTCGTCCTGCCAGATGACTTTTCCCTACTCTTCCAATCTGGCGCCGCACGTCCAACCCGTGCGCGAAGTGGCCTTCCGCGACTACGGCCTGGAGCGCGCCAAGTGGCCGTACCGCGGCGGCGGCGGCGGCGCAGGG